TTTTCACCAATGTTATATTTATTATTCAATTCTGATTGGATTGTCTGTTGATAATTGAAAGCACCTAGTGAAAAGGAGTACAGGAGAGGCACCTCTCATTATGGGTTGTGATGTTTCTTGCACTTTGTAACTTGAGTGAAGGTAGCAAAAATGCGAATGGCTAGTCATTGAGTCGCATTGACATCCAGTGATGGAAGTGTGTGCGATTTCCGCTTTCAGGTTTGTGTACAGTCATTTCGTGACGTATACGGTCTCACTCATAGACGACCTTGAGGAGGAGAATTTGTTTCGTGCTCAGCGCTCACTACTTCAGAGAGACTATTTTTGTGCTTTAGACAAACCACTTCTGCTCATCACACGCACTGTTAACAATTGGTGTGATGCAAGAGTATAGTTTACCATAAACCAAAAAAGCAAATCCATAAGTGAATCATACCTGCGAAATAATTGGTCTGGTAACTAACACCTCCTCGATAGCATTATTGGTAGAAAGATTGCTTTCATTAATTGAGATCTATGAACCAAGATAAACCACAGTAAAGCACTTGTAAAGGCATGTGAATCCAAAGTTTTGTGATGTGAAGCATAAAATTGATCTAGATATTTAAATAAAAACGCATAAAACCTAAATGTTTGCATTCATAAAATACGCCTCTCATATTCACTTAGTACACGCCGGATTTTAAATGTCTATACTTAGGTTATCAACATTTGATAGAACTCCTACGGCGTGAAGTTAGGGCTCACATACAACGTAGTAAAACCTGAAATTGTGACATGACGCACTTAGCCTTTGGTACTCTTCTCTAAATGACCTTATGTGGCAATTAATCAAGCCAATGCGTAGCAAGACTGGGCTGCAATAAATACGAGAACCCACTTAATTAGTGTAACACTATCTACTTAAAAAATGCTACGAACAGCACGATTTCTAGGAAAGGTTTTTTGCTGCCTTAACGTCTGTTTAATAATTTGCTACATGTGGAATTTCTCAAGATCCACTAGAGCCGCCAATGAGATAAAACTGCCATACACCAATACGATTCATTGCAGATGGCCGCCTTTAACCCTGGACCATATTCGCACTGAAAACAACGCTTATAATCTTACACTCTGCACGAAACTGCGGACAAATGCTTCGGAAAATAGCTCAACCACTACCTATCTAATTCAGAGCCTTTTTCGTAATGTTACGGGTAAAAAGTGGGTTTCCTTTGAGGAAATCGGCGACTATGATCGGTCCATCTGGAAGCGGGCTATATATCCCAACGTCTATCGAACCTACCCACAGGATGTCCCAATTAAGTACGAAATTAAGGCAATTAAATCTGGGTTTCCTGTTTCTGTGGTAAGTTTAACGCCTCAACTCTAGAATTAAATTCATTGTGGGCATTTATAACTACGGAGTCTGTCGATATTATAAACTGACTCAAACCCACCCAGCTGAGGGTGTATTTTTCAGCAGGACTTACCCTATATCCTGTATTATCATGCCTGCGCGAACCAGTAGTTGCTTCAGCAACCTATTTATTAAAGGGCATCTGCAAACCAAGGTTAAACCAGGACAATAAATCATCTTCTTTTCTCATTTTAGATGCCCAATTACAACTTCCCAATTCACATTCTGAATACCAGCAAATCAGTCTGTTCAGGAAGCACCAAATACGACCTGGTGATAATTGTTAAAAGTGGAGTTTTCGGTTGGGAAAGACGGAAACAGTTCCGTGCATTTATGCAACGCCAGAAAGACCTCAATCCCAACACAAAACTGGGAGTTGTTTTTAGCATTGGTGTGCCAAGGCAGTATGGAGGACGCATGTTCTACCGCGATGGTCATACTCTAATATTGAGAGGACCAGCTGGTGACATGATGGATAAATACATCGGAAGAGGCAGTGAAGTGATGCAGAAAATCGAAGAGGAGATGCGGAAATACGACGACATTGTGCTAGCAGACTACGAGGACACCTATTACAATCTCACATGGAAAACGGTGACGAACCTTCGTTGGATTTCGGCCTTCTGTGATAAACTACATAATGACGTGTTTATGATAATCGACGATGACCACAGGATGAATGTATCCATGTTGATGAAATTCCTGGCCTCGGTTCCAAGAGACAAAAGGAGGACATCGATTTTCGGTCGCATAGCAAGAAGCGATGGAGCATTTCGATCACCACTAAGTAAGCTGTATCTTTCATTTCGGGAAATTCCATGGGACGTAATGTGTGCTTATCCTCGCGGATTCTGCCAGTTGATAGGAGCTGACATCGTGGACGACATGGCGATTGGGTCAGCGTACACGCGGTACAATTATGTACACGAAGACGTGTACCTGGGTCTATTGGCATTTAAGTTGAGCATTCACCTATACAATATTTATAACATGTTTGACCATCGAATGTTTGAACGCAGATGGCCGACAAATTCATCATTCATGGTGGCCGAAAGTAGATATTGGGACATTGTTTGACACCTGATACCCTTTGGTGTTTGACTGCATTTTCTATTCAAATTCTTTTAAAGAAATCCAGAACTTTTTCGTTTACGTAATTGTCGTACTTGTATAGGAAATCATGCCGAAGAATTACCTCTGCTTACTACTGCTATTGAACAGGAATATATGAAGCATGGAAGCTTTAGTAGAGAACAAAATATACAATTCTGGTGGTTGCATTGGCCAAATGTAGGGAGAGGATTAGTATGTTTCATTTCTAATCTGATACATTGACAGAGCAGTAAATTGACTGAGGTTGACTGACTGAATGACTGACTAATTGAAGAGGTTTATTTCACGGTCTTGATGTACCTTCGAATTAATTTTCCTTTGTAAATTGGGGCGGTTGGGGGATAGGTTAGAGGCGTTGCAAATGAGAGCCTGAATTTATTACTTTCTCTCCAAGGCAAGGAGCATCTAGTTTGACCTTCAAGAGCAAATCACAGTTTCGCGTTTCATAAGATTGTAACTTGTTGATCGATGGATGTATGAGTGGCGAGCAGTAAAAAGAACCGGGTGACAGGTAAAGTATGCTGACTGTGATTGGCTACTGGTGAGGGAAAATGCTACAACACAAGCCATTTAAACGCGGATAAGTATTTATTGCTATGTTTGAGTGATTATTATTGGGTGAAATGGTAGGCCTTCCACAAAAAGAACGTATCCTGTTCTTTTTCTCCTCCCATCTTCCATTTTTTTTCTGCGTCAGGTTGAATGCTCTGCCTATATCCTACGTGAAGTGAAAAAGAGTAAGGAAGTAGGAGGTGATTGAGAAGAAGTTAGTGGGAATTAATGTAAATATGGCGTCACTGGCCTCTCACAAGTGGCAGAGTTTAAGTATTGAGGATATAGAGGGCATTCAAAACAAAGAGGGCCGGAAGAGACTTCGATTAATGAGAAGAGTGTGAAGATACAGGGGATGTGAATCTTGCAGATAACAGGTTTGGCTTCGTAGAGCTGCATCTCCAAATATCTAAGTTTGCATGGTTTGTATTGTAACCATTAATGTTGCAGCGACTAGTGGATCTACTCGCAACCAAATGCAACATGGATGCCAGTGCAGATCTCAGTTGGATGGTGATTCACGGAATGAGGAGCGCACAGATTATTAAATTGAATGAGGTTGTGATGCAGTTCGATTCCGCCTACTTAGGATATGACCAAATTTTTGAAACCTGTTGCCATCATATTAAGTAGGTAGTCCAAACGTTTTGTGTTTTTTTTTAATTATTCAAGTAGCAGACACACTTGTGGCATCTCAACAACCGCCGATGACACAAAAATGTGGAAGTTCAGGCAAAAAGTATTTAATCCGGGCTATAAAGTGGGAGTAAACACTGTGTTTGGTGGCAAAATATTGCGCCATCCTACCATGTCACTTTTGTGTTTTGCCAAAATTTTCAATTTGTCTTCACTATCTCCTTTCAATTCTCTCATTAATCCAATGTGATCTACGCATTCGGGATTTTACAGAAAAAGCTCCATCTGTGGCTTTAAAGACTGCAGTAATCATGCAATTCGCGACGTCGATGATTGTTGGTGAGATCTTTGGAAACTAGGTCTTATTTTGACGCACGCAAGTCAACATTTATGTTACTCTCGAAGACGTAATGAGCAATGGCGGAAAGAAGTAGCTTTAGCATAATCGTGCGCTGTAGCCGGCAGAGCGGTAATGTGGGTCTCATGATCAGAGCCACGTGCCACCAGAATAAATGCCGATTTGCTACTCCTAAATGAATTTCGATGACATAAGGCCAAAGTAATTAGACACAACCATTTAGCACTTGGCAATATGTTTAAACGGGCTTCTCACTAACCGAACCGACAGAACTGCTATCTTTGTCTTGTAGTTATGGTTACTAGAAGACAACTCTTGTGTACGGCTGATTGGGTACTTGAATGATTGGTGGGAGTCAAGTAATGCGCTTTCCCACGCTTTACGTTATGTAGTGCGCAATAGGCAGGATGTAGCAGAGAAGCCGGAGTATCAAATTTTTTATTATTGTCTACTTCTCACTTTGATATAGGGCGCTACGTAGTATGCATTGCCATTTGGTACGTTCTGCCATCAATTAGCTGCATCTGCAAAAACTATACGACAGGCGGTGGCAGAATCCTCTAGACTCATGCATGTGCACGAACATATGCCTACAGAAACTGGTGACTCCAAATCCTAGCATTAACTTTTATTAATTTGTCGGATACAGGTACGTAGATAGAACCTAACTTAATCAAGTGAAATTGATATTGTTAAATGGTCACAAGCGTCCCAAAGGTCAGATGTATGAGGATCATATTCAAGGTTACCCACTTGTATCGACCGATTTTTTGCAACAGTGGGCTCAGATGGGTACCTGAACGTCATGGATGGGTTGCACGGAAGACAATTCTAATCCGTATGACGTAGAGACATGGAGACTTGAAATGAGATCATCAGGATTGCATATATGCAATTATGTCTACTGAAATAAGTTATGAGTACACTGTGCGGCTGATAAACATAACGCTTGAGTCAGCACCGAAGGCATTTGCATAATACAGGCACACATTATCAATAAGGTGGAAATTAGACTGTTGACAATGTAAACGGACTCATTTATTTATTTGTACTGTAGGGATTTCTCGCTTATAAAGTGTTTATTTAGAAACTTACGAAAGAATAGAAGGAGTAGAATTACGACTGGTGTGCCTAGATCTAGTTGGTATTCTTGCATTTATGATCAATCAGGCAATCGCATTGACTTTGGATCAACTCACAAAATTGAGGAGACTAGGACCAGGTTGATTGATGAATGCACAGTAGATACACTGATGGATAATATAAAGCAGCATCCAAGCCTTTTGGGTTCGCTTAATGAAGTGGTCAGTGATGAGATTGGATTGACTGTTGGATGGGCTGCATGCACAGACCCGGAAGTCGGGCTATTATTTTAAGTCTTTTAAAGCAATATATTACTTAACTGGATCATTTGTGCGGTGTTTGAGAAGCTTTAGCACAAGTTATAAAGCGTGGAAGAGCAGAGCAAACTTGTAGAAGCTCACGTGGAGAAGGAAGGGATGTTGAGTTCTAGCAGCCTAAAATTACAGGCGTGGGGTGTCAATACGGTCAAAGTAAAAGTCGCACGCTTCTCAACACTTAAACGTTTCGAACGTTTATGCTGACTAAGGCTGTTCCATTTTAAGATGTATATTTGAAGAAAAAACTAGACCAGTCATTACAATTAACCAGGGAGCCTACGTTTACATCAAATCAACTGTTAGAGCTCAATTCAGAAGCAAGTTACACATGGATGATATTTTACAGAAAAAGCATTGACGATTTCGTTTTTTGATGCACAACTTCAAATCCTGCTGATAAACGCTACCGTGATGGGTCAGAAGAAAAACTATCTGCAGTATTAGTATGTAGGTGTGGTAGGTCAACGTAGGTTAAAACTGTTAAGTTGACTTTGCAGAAAGAAAACAAAGTGCCAGAATTATAAAATTCCAGAAGGATTATAATACGAAATGATGCAGTTCTTAACAAATTGGTGGTATATCTCGCACTGATAGTAGTATAAATTTCCAAAACCGCATATTTAAAAAGTAGTAACCTACTAAGGAGTTAAAAATGGGACACAAGCTTGAACCACACCTCAAGTAACACTTGAAGCTGATGGAGGTGCCGGCACAGATTTAACCCCCACCTACCCCGCTTTTCTGTCATACCCAGCCTTAGGCAGTGCCCGCACCATCGACAGACAGCAGTTTAAATTGCCTAAAGGCGTTCTAACATGACCCAGAGCTAAATATGACTAGGACCTGTCAAACTTTGTCTTCAATACGCAAATTAATGCATGGAATGCCCATCTTCTACTTTCTAAATTGGAAATCAACCGATTTTGATCAGTGATGCAGCTTGACATTGCTGCAAGATGCAAGGGGCGACACTTTCAGCGAGCTAAAGAGAGAAATCCTTGTGGCAAAATTTTGGAGAGCAGTCGTCGCTTATCAGTATAAGACGCAACCCCTTAAAACTAGTTATACATAAGATTGACTAATTTCTCTTGCTTTTTGGAAACGCATGTTACAAGTGAGAGCAAACGAAAATGAACTTTGGCCAGGGACTAGATAAAATCGCTAATTTTTATCCGCAGTCAACATACATAACGCACAGCCGGTGAATCATCAAGAAGCGAATTCAACTATCACACTGGAATCAATCAGTGAGAAGTGTCAACGCTCACTCCACCTGCAGATTAACACTGCAATGGTACATTGTGAGGGTAGAGGCAGATTCCAGGTGCCTGCTTCACCTCAACCCATCCAATCCAGTTCGTTTTTAAATTCAACCGACGTCCCACAAGGCAGCATACCAATGTTATGAATAAGAAAATGCTTCCTTATCCTATTTTCTGCCGTTACTGAGGGGCCTAGCACTTTGTCAAGTACTGTCTTTCTGTCATTACAGGTGCCGCTGGTGCAACACTATTGGTCAAATAGGTGCGTACTGTTAATGTAGCCCACCCAGCTCTAATGAAGACACAGAGAATGGGGAAGGCGGTCAAAAGCAGTCAAGAGGACCTGTGAATCGTTGGGTGTGATAAGGGTTTTGCAGACATAAGTAACTGCTAGCCAAAGGTCATTCACCGTCAGCCTCAATAGCTGTCCACTGCGACTACCGCTACACCGGTTCCTGAATCGCTAATGCTGTGATCTGGTCTGCCACAAGGTATAAAGTGAGTCGATGACTGAAGCAAAGTGATATGCCGATTTGATAACTAGGAGTTTGCATGACTAAGTGTCTGGATCTTGTTAAAGCCTTCGACAAGACATATTATGCAAAGACTTCAGAGCAGACGTCTTTATCGACAGAGGAAAGGAATGCGAAAAGCACACATGGTTAGCGTGTACTGACCTTTTAGCTATCAAAAAAGAGACTGCCGTAGATTAAGACTACGCCTCAGTCCGGCCAATCAGTTACGCGTAGTTATAGT